GATTTGATCAATCTGGGCTCATTAAGAATTAACTTTGAAAAAAAAATCCATGAGGAGAACATATGGAGAGGGAAGGGCTGCATAGAAAAGATACAAAAGGTACATAGCTTTCTAGGAACAAAGCACTTTTATTCTAGTGTGTTTCAGCACTTTGATCTAACCACAAATAGATCAGTCAGCTTTATGGCTGTCTTCTGTCACTGGCAAATGGGCGCTTTCAGGGATGTCTGCTCACCTCCTGGAGATAAATGGTATTAGTAACCAAACGCAATAAAGTTATTTGTGACAAGTGAATTGAATATTGATTTTATTCTATTTTCCTCTGCTAACTTTTTAAGAAATATTCATAAGAAGTGAGGTTTCCAGACCTAATCAATTGAAAATAACAACATAATCAATCTATTGTTAACTAACCTTTCCCAATATTTCTAGCTACTGAATCTTTTTGGCATTACTTTGTACAACCCCCGTGAGTCAAAATTTTATTAACTCTTCCAGAGTTATGTACTCTACCGAGAAGAGAAGGAAAGAAGCAGAGCTTGCTTCAATGTGTACCCAATTCTTTTCCCCAAATCTCTGCTATCTTTACTTGCTAGCTTTCCTGATATAATGCTAGCCATTTAATGATCGAATCTTTAAAAACTCAAGAAAATTTTTTTCTCTTTCATTCCAATAAAACTCCTTTACATTAAAATGGCAGAAGATGGGCCCATCGCAGTAACCTAGTGGCTGAATTCCTTGCTTTGAACACGTCAGGAGCCCATATGGGCACTGGTTCTAATCCCGGCAGCCCCACTTCCATCCAGCTCTGTGATTGTCACCTGGGAAAGCAGCTGAGGGCGGCTCAAAGCCTTAGGACCCTGCACCTGTGTGGGAGACCCAGAAGAGGCTCCAGGCTCCGGGCTTCAAATTGGCTCAGCTCCAGCCATTGCAGATGGGAGATTTTGCTCTCTGTCTCTCCTCATCTCTATATATCTGACTTTCCAGGATAAATGGCTTCCCTGAAGCCTTTCCAGCTGTTATGTTCTATGGTGTCTCCTGCTGGTACCTGCCAGTGACTAACTTCTTCAGTGGATTTATAAGGTATGTGTCACTGAATCTTGGCAACTTGCTAGGGAACGTCTTTGTCCCATTTTTTAATGGTTTTGCTCAATGGTGCTCAAAAACAATAGGTATTCTAAGCAACAGCTATGTAGCATTCTAGTGAAGAAGCAAACTGCTTAGCACTTCATCACAAAATTGTCCAGAAATTAGTATGCCCAGAAAATACAGCAATTGATAAGTCCTTTGACGGAGATTAGAGTGCTCTAGAAAAACCTAAGTTCTTAATTTAAAGTTTCAGTATGAAATTGTCCATTATTCTTTGATTCATAACCTTGAGTAAAGTGGCTAGAGTTTGGTCCTCTGGACAACAGTCAAGAATTTGTTATATGACCTAAAATATTGGCAGGCACTGACTAGGCTAGAAGTGGGTGCAAATCCCTAAAGGTCAGCCAAAATAAGGCTATCCATCAAGGGGTTTGACTGATAGGCCAAATCAGAACTTCTCTCAATGAATATGTATGTATATGCAAATAGGAACTCACATGGTAAGGTAGACTGGGCACCAACAGTTAGCTGCTTATTATTATTTTTTTTTAACAGTGTAGAGATGGAGTCACAGAAGATACTGGGGACAGGAAGTGATGAACTAAAAGCAAGTCTGTGCACCTGAGGTTGGGCCTTCACAATTGTGCACCCAAGGATATTTCCTAATTGAGCCCTGAAGCTACAGAAGCCAATTCCTGCTCCATCATATTTTCCTGTGTACCTTCCCTCTGAACTACTGCACCAAATTTTCCAAACATAGTTTTTCTGACATCTAAAATCCTAATATCCTTGAGATTTACTATTCAAAGTTTAGCAACAAATGATCACTTTCAATGTGGCAAATGGGCATATTGTCTTTGAAACAGAAGACTTTGATCCCAGTTCTGGCTTTTTTGTATGACTTTACCTAAGCTTCTGAACTTTCCAATCTTCAGGTTTCTTACATGTAACCTGAGGATAAAACCAGTGCGGTAGAAGTAAAGTCTAAATAAAATGACACATGGATATGATTTAATGCAAGGTAATTGCTCATTGTAGGCTAGTAAGACAGCTGGAATACATGTCTTCTTAGGGGATAATGTTTGCAATCACATATCATGGAGTGGTGTCAATTTTACATACCCTTGAAAGTGACTATTTTTGCAGATGACCCAACACAAAAAAATGTAGTGGAAGTGATCCTGATTGATTTCTGAGATAGATCATAAAAGATGACCTGCCTTCTGTTAGCTCTTAACTTTCTGTTCAAACCACCACATTTGAGCACAGCCAGCACACGGTGAAGAAGTCAGGGGACACAAGGAGGCCATGTGGTTGTGATTTCTCCGGATCAGAACATTTGCTTCCCCTAGAAATTCAGGCACTGAAATTTCATCCCAGTGAATCAGTATGAAGAGGCAGGGCCCTTGCAAAGTCCTAGGGAATGAGACCACGAAAGGGATCAGTGCCTGGCACAACATGATACACGTGCTTTGGCTTTCCTCCGTGGCTCACAGCTCCCTCCCCAAAAGCAGAGGTCATAAAATTTTCACTCCAAAGCAATCCTTAGTTGCTTAGGTTTAGTTCTTCCCTCAGTAGTGCGAGCCACACTAGGTAATTATTTTGGAGGTTTGTGGGAACCCCGATAATGTAGCCAAATAGTCAGAATTACTGGATGAGTCTGAAGTGGGGCAGTGTTGGAGACTGAGCCTCCAGAGTGTGGGCTATGACACTGTCTGCAGCTGGATGGTGTCCTAACTGATTCCGAGGGGAGGACACACGGCCAGGGTCAGAGCTGCCGGACTGATGGCTTGCTTGCTGGTGGAGAGAAACCACCCACACCGGCTTACAGAAGTCATGTATTGATTGTGGTGTGAGAACAGAGGAAAAATGTTTATTCTTTCAGTTCAGTGCCCTTATAAAGCAAAACCAAGGAAGATTAATTGTCCCTTCCACTATGTGAAAATGCCATAAAAGGTATTATCATATGAGTCCAAGGACAAGTGCTCACTAGACTCCAAATCTGTCATCACCTTAATCTGATATCTTCTAGACTCTACAACTGTAAACACTAAATTGACGGAACTATAAACTGTCCATTCTAAGTTATTTTGTTATAGCATCCTGCATAGACTAAGAGTGTTTCAGCTCAAAGTCCAGCAAGGTCTCATTAAGCACCAGGAAGATGAATGGAAAGTACCATCAGACTCCATCCTTTCAGCCTTGCAATATTCCAGTTGAGACTCCAGATACTGTGTCCTTTCAATTACAGACCAGCAGACTCCACGACTATAATAAACGGTTGTTTTATACCAAATGTGTATGGGTTACATGCTAGGCAGCATACATATCATACCGCATACATGATAAATAATAACTACTACAGGTTGTCAGAACTCCACAAATATAAGGGACAATATTTTGATTATCATCAATTCCATCATTAGTATCATTAACATTGTACTCATTAGCATACCAATAATATGATTTCATAGGTGTTTTACTTATTTTCTCTATGAAAATACAAGTTATGTGGAAAACATGAGGATTCATTTAAAGATTCTTTGCATTGATCATCCACGGAGCACATATTCTACAAAATGAGGAGGAATTACAGTGTTCACACTGCATTGCTACCGCCTGAGTCAGGAGAAACCTCCAGAAGTGTTTGACAAGCTGTTTGTGTTTGACGGCTTTATTTCAATTATGCTGAACAACCAAGAGAATTAAAATAGGATTCTTTAAAGACAGCATTTTTGTAAGTTCCAAAACACAATGCATGTTTAATGTGCCCAAGTTTTCACACCAGCTAGAAGAAGAAAAAAATGACCTAAACAAGCTTTTCCCATAAAATAGATGCTCTTTGATGCCCTTAGAAGCAGGAGAGTTTGCTCTTGGTTGTTTGTAGTGAATTTGTGCGATTGCTTTTAAAAAGTAAACTTTCGCACTTTGTAAAAAAAAAAATGTATGGAATAATATTGTTTTATGGGTTCCAAAGAGAGACAGACACTGGAATGAGGTTGGCTGTCTGGCTGCTTTCCCACAGTTCCCTAGGTTAATGGGTTTTTTATGGCTATACTTACTCCAACCTCTTCCACCCTCACTTGTCTTATATTTCCACATTCTTGCTGCGACTTCTAAAGGCAAAAGACTGATTTAAATATGTGAAATAGCTCTATTTCTTTGAAGTAAAGCGCCAATGTCAAAAAGGAAAGATAAAAATCAGCAACATCTCTTTTTACCTTGAATTCTGCAATAGATGCAATTTTTCAGAGTTGACCATTACTTAGTTTTTCATTAATTATACTTCTTGTGAACCATCAAAATATAATACCGAAGGAAATTTCTATTAAACCTCGGTCTACCTATTATGTATTTCTATTTTATTTTGCAAATTCAGAAGCCTAAGTATTATTATGATCTAGGATAAGCCATGTGAGAGTTAAGATGAGATAGTATATGAAATTTTTTAAGTTGAATAAAATCATCTCATAGCTAAAAGATAAAATAAGAGACATCAGAGTATTACATCTTATTAGAAAATTATTTCAGAACAGATTATTTAATTTTTGTAGTCATGAAGAGTATTTAAAAACAAATATCAGTGATTGAATTTCAGGATTCCTACTTCAGCGTGGGCCATCCCGCCCTACCCCAGACATTTGGGAAAGAAAAAATTCAAAATGTGCTCTCCTTACATATCCAGTACCTCAAAACCCATCTCCAGTTCCTCTTCCCCTCTCATTTAAATCAATTTAACTGATTTTTAAAGTGAGTTTTAATGTGATTTCCACCTCTGAGGGCAGATCCAGGTTTTGTGTGTCTTCTGTGAGTAACAGAGCTCTGAGAGAAGAGTAAAACAGCATGCCTCAACATACCTGACTGGAGCCCCTCTCAGAAGCTTCGTGGTAATCCAGCCTGTCTCTGATCTTCATCTTATAATCAAGGATGATTTTCTTCTGTGCTAGCACAATCTTCTCAACCGACCTTGCAGGCATTATGCTCATCCCAAATGGGAGTCGGCGGGTCTTCCCTCCACAGAGGACCATTGAGCTCTTTTCTGTTTTGTCCTTTGGGGAAGAAAAACAACAGTTTATGTTCCCTGTAATGATATGTTCTGATGATTTCAGAAATTCCCTTCTTATCACATCATCATTTCCTCCCAATTTTATAAAATGAACACTGCATGAAAAAAGTGAATCACATGTTTCTATTAGTTCCTTCAACAAGAAACAAAATCAATTCTTTCAGACATGATTATAAGGCAAGGAAATGGCTTTACATTGTGTTAATGTGTAAGTCTCAAATACGTTTCTACCTGTGAAAGCATCAGAAGGCAAAAATGAAAAAGGTTTATATTCTATATCCTTGGATACCTATAATTGGCAGTACTACATGTGTAGAAGCTACTCAAACTGAAAATCAAAGGAGAATATAAAATCAATAGGGTATAAAGCAATATTCAACCAGATTGTAACAACATGTCTTCATAATCTAGCTGCAGTATCATAAAGTAAGATGGATACATAAAAATAAAGAATGCAGGGTCTGGTACAATGGTCTAGTGAATAAAGTCCTCACCTTGCACACACCAGGATCCTATATGGACACCAGTTCATATTCTAGCAACCCCACTTTCTATCCAGCTCCCTGCTTGTGGCCTGGGAAGGCAGGTCAAGGATGCCCAGAAGACTTGGGACCTTCAGGAGACCCAGAAGATGCTCCCGGCTCCTGGCTTCATACTGGTTCAATTCCAGCAATTGTAGCCACTCTATCTAACCTCTTCGCTATCTATCTGCCTTTCCAATAAAAATAAGTAAATGTTAAAAAAAAAATAAAGAAAGAATGAAAATGAGAACAGGTTGGATAAATTAATACTAGCAAATATTGTTTATGCCTTTTTTTTTAGTGTTTACTTATGTATTATCATCACCTACTTGAAACTGAGTGACAGAGTTTCCATCTGTTGGTTCACTACCTTATATGCCATGGCGGCCAGGACTGGGACAGGCCAAACCTAAGATTTAGGAACCTGATCTTTGTGAGAGGCAGGGACCAAGCACTTGGTAGATTAGTAGGAAACTGGACTTAGAAACAGAAGAACAGGGATTCAAACTCACCCTGCTATGGGATTCAGCATCTCCAACCACAGCTTAAACAGCTGTACCCCGATGCCTGAAACTGATGTTTTCTTTTAAATGAAAGTTACTGTCATCTTTAAGTAAGAGAACCGCATACAATAAATTTTGGACATTAAATCCCTTTGACTTCAGCACTGTCTTCTCTTTACCCAGCATTTTCCCTCAGGAAACCTGTCACTGATACTCTGGCCACCACAGGTTTCCATTAGTTGGCGTCTCACCTAGCAATAAAGAAGACATGCGCACTCATTTTGAGCTGTTTATTTCAGACTACCAATGAGTTGACGCACTGTACTGTGTGTGCTGGGACCATTGATGTGGAAAGAGCTTTATTCACTATTTATTTTTGTTATTATCGCCGTATCATCTTACTAAATATGTTACTTATGAATATGGTAATGAAGAATTTGGACTCAGTTTGCTTTGTTAAACAAAGCATCACAATCCACCTCAGGGGACTCTCCAGTTGGAGGTTCAGCCTAAAGCGTCCCTGTCATGAGTATTAACCTCAGAGTCACCTCTCAGCCCCTGCCCTGAGAGCTCATCAACAGTCCTGTCATTCCTCCGAAAGACAAAGAAGCCATCTTCTGAGAAAACAACTGTAAACATTGGATCAGATAATTGCTGCTTTGTAATACAACACCATGTTTTGTGATCTCAAGGCTTACATTTTGAAGATAGCATCTGAACTGATATGAGTCAAAATCTACAAAATTCTTGGATTAAATGCATTATGTACCATTTTCTTCCTCAGAACAAAATAAGTAAAATTAGAAATAAACCTAACCTGCATAGTTCTAAAAATGTAAATGAAGATCCAAATGCACCCGCCTGGGTATGTACAAAAGCTTGTCTGAGATGACCTGCTGTAGATATTAAATGACCTTTCCCATGCAGGAACAAACCTGTAGAAAGTGAATGTGAGCTACCTATTTCAAACCAAAAGCCAGAAAACATCCTTTCCTCCTTTTCTTATCTATCCCGATCTCTCTCCCCCAAAGAAAAGAAATACAATTTTAAAACAATCTCTGTATGCCTTTAGGGATAGCAAAGTTCTACTTCATTTAAATACTACATTAGTTTATATATTGGGTCCTCCCATACCACAATCCATACAGTTTATAAACCACATAAATGCATATATGGTAATCCCGGAGACTGGTGAGTCCAAGATCAGAGAAGTAACACATTCAACATTTAGTGACTGCTGGCTTCCTCACAGGTGATACCTTATCATGATGCTCTCACCAGGGACACAGACAAGGCAGGTGACTGCGGGCTCTTCGACAAGAACACTACACCAATAACAGAGAGGAGAGCCTTCACTATGTTGAAAGTTAGAGTTTCAACATAGAAATTTGGATGGGAACATGAACACTCAGAATTTCAAACAGATTTCCAGGGTAATGGATGGAAAGAAAAACCTCCTGGAGTTCCTCCTTCAGAGTTCAATTGTTGAGGCCAGTATTGTGGAAAGCAGACCAAATGAGTGTTCATCCATATCCTGGTTGCTCCACTTGTGACCCAGTTCCCTGATAATGCACCTGGAAAAGCAGCAGAATATGACTTGAATACTTGGCCACCCATCACCCATGTAAGAAAACTAGATGGAGTTTTGGATACTAGTTTTGGACTGGCCCAGGCTTAACCATTGGAGCCATTTGGAAAGTGAACTGGTGGATAAATGATTGGCTTTTCCATACTTCTATTAATTCCTTTTAAATATGCAAAACAAATCTTTTATTTAAAAAAACAAAATCTCATTTACATTAACTGTGTTTTGCCTCATGGTATTTACGGACAGTCCCATAGATATCCTGTACCCACACTAGGGCCATAGTTGTTGAAGCACATGCTACAACATCAACCTCATTCACCCCATAGGAACTTGAATAAAGCAGTTTATATCCTATAGCATCAGGACGATGGTTGCCATTGCATAATTCATGCTGTCACCATGTTCATCCATGGATGAATATATTAAAAGAAAATGGGAACAGTCTGTCTGCATCCTGCAGTTCTATTACTATATTGCCAGAAACAGTAACCTTTGATTTACTCAAGCTCCTCCAACGGTACTAAGAGGTCTTCTCTATGTCCCATAGCATTGTAACTATGATGGCATAAGCACTGGTGTCAGTGGCACATGTACTGAACAATCTCTTGGCAATCCCCTCTATATCCTTTATGACCAGGATCTAGGCTACCACAACCACAAACCCAAAGTGCCATTGATATTCAACTCTGCAGAGCTTGATAACATACACCTTTGAAACTGCATGTTCGGTGCAAAGTTGCACATCTACCTCCATGATGTATGGTAGCCTATAAATAATTGAGATGGTCATAAACTGCATTGGCATTGATTACAGCTGAAGGATCACACGGATGATACATTCCTGAGTTTCTGTTAAAACCAAACCAAAGCATCTACTCATTGAGTGCATACATAAGCAAATATAAGCACACACATATATTTTCCAGTGAAAGTAACTTCAAGAAATGTAAAACAGCAATAGTTGCACCAAATATGCAGACATCAAGAGTCTCAGAAACATGAAAAATAAAGGAAGCATGACACCATCAAAGGAGCATTTCCAAGAAATTTGTCCCAATTTAAAGAAAATCCAAGAAATGTTCAAAAGACTTTAAATGGCAATCATAAAGCAACCCGTTGAGATGCAAGAGAACACAAATAATTCTTGAAATGAAGAAAACAGTACATGATATGAATAAGAAAATCAGCAGAGGTAGATGTCAAAAGAAACCTTGTAATTAATTTAAAAATGCAATTGAGTATTTCAATAGACTCAATCATGCAGAAGATTTTCTAAACTTGAGAACAATTGTTCTAAAAAAAGTCAGATTCAGAAAGAAAAAAATGGAATTAATAAGAATGAGGAAACTCAATGTGCCATAAGGTATGCTATTAAATAGAGAATGTTTGCATTGTGCAACACCTTAAAAAGAGCAGGAAAAAAGCACGGACAACCTGTTTAATTAAATAATATATGAAATCTTCCTAAGTAGTGGAATAAATCCTACTCCAGAAAGCACAAAGAACTCTAAATAGACTTCACCAAAAAAGATTTTTCCCCAAGGCACATTATACTCAAACTACCAAAGATCAAGATAAAGATAAATTTCAAAAAACTGCAAAAGAAAGCATCAAATCACATATAAGGAAGGCATCATTAAATTAGTAGTATACTTCTCAGCAGAAACCTTAAAAAACAGAATACAATGAAATGTTGTAGTCAAAGTCCTGAAAGAGATTCTGCCAGTAAATATTATATTCAACAAAGCTATCCTTCATCAATGAAAAAGAAATATCTTTTTCAGACAAAAACAAATACTGAGAGAATTCATCATCACCAGACCAACCACAGGCAATGCTTAAAGCATTTCTGCATTAGAAGTAAATTATAGCTATCAACGTGAGATGTCTGTGCGTGAAAGTGCAAAGCTCACAGAGCAGATATATAAAGAGCAAGAGATACAAACCCTAGCACCACAGAAACAACAAAACAAAGAAGAGACAGAAAGAAACAATGAATATACAAAATGATTAGGAAGCAATGAAAAATATAGGAAGAATCGGCTCTTAGCTCTCAATAATGACCTTGGTATAAATAGATCAGAATTCTTCAATCAGAAGATGCAGAGAAGCCAAACAGATAAAAAGAGAAAACTCCAGGGCAGTTCGTCCTTTACTGACCTCCTCCTAACTGCTGTAGCAAGAAGGTTCTTGCTTTTAATAAAGCTCACTTTGCCCCCGTCCCTGTCCTCATGGAAACTCCTCAATGTGAAACTAATCACCTTCATCGTCTTACAACCTGTGGTGCTGTGACTCACATCCAACTCAGATACCACTCACATCAGCTGCGCATCAGCTTGGTGCACCGGTAAGAAAGCAGATGGCTTCTGCC